AACAACTCGAATTTCACGGACAACACTAGTCAATCGGTGACGCCCAGCGAGTTTGGCTACCAGCATTTGCAGCGACACCTGAGCATGCATTCGCTGCTGGCCACCGAAGAGAGCTCGCCCCTCTACGAGGACTTTGAGCAGACGCCCAGCAATGCGCTGTCGCCCGCCAAGCATCTGCCGGCAGCTTCCATCAGCAGCCCTATCAAGTCGACCATTAGCATAACGTACAAGTCGCCAGAGAAGGAGAAGCCGCCGACTAAGCCCGCGCTGCTGCTGGAAACGAATTTCGATGAGAATATTGTGTACGAGCAGGTGAAGCTGTTCAGGAACTCGGTGACGGAGGTTAATCAGATGCTGAACGAGCGACACGGTCAGAGCCTAAAGCAGATTGAAGAGGAGGATGGCAGCGCGCAAATGGCGCAACAGCTGTTGCAGCTGCAAAAGGAACAAGAGGTGGATGAGGATGAGGAGCAGCGGGACCAGGAGCAGCTGCTGTATGAGAACATTGAGCTGCGCAAACCGAAAACAGTATACGAGAATCTACGTGGCGAGGAAATGAAACTCAACGTAGCAAGCGACGACCTACTGGAGCTCGAAACGGATTCGGATTTGAATTTGGAGTCAGTGGCGAAACATCAGCCCAGTTGTGATCGCATTGAGCTGGACAGTTTGGACAGTTTGCCGAGTGTCGAGCACAATATGGAGCACGAAAAGCAAGAGCAGTTGGAGCATTCGGAGCAGCTGCCGCCGAGCAAATCGCCGTCGTTCAGCGTGAAAGAGTTGGCAACCAAATTTGAAAGTTCGCCCGTTGAGCAACTACCGAATTTTGATTTCAGCCAGCGTGGCGGCTCGATGAAGAAGCCCAACAATGAGCTCAGCCTGCCGCCCGTGGCAGTGCCGCCAAAGCCGTTGCTGATGCCCGTGCCGCTCAAGAAACGCAATGCGAACGCACAGAAGATAACGCGTTCGCTGGACGAGAATGCCTTCGTACGCGAGTTCGGTGGCAAGCAGCTGCAGGATTTGACCGCATGCAACCAGCAGCAGCAGCAACAGCAGCAGCAGCCACAGCTGCCAATGTCAGAGTTAGACAATCGGCGCAAGAGCTTTGATTTCACGCGTCCCAAAACGCTGAACCCGCCAAAGCGTTTGCCGGGTATGAGCATCACCGAGGAGATATGCCAGAAGCGCAACAGTGAGTCGGTCGATCAGCAGATCACCACGCCCACCACCGAGAATCGTATTTCGCTGATACAACAGAACAATGTGCCACTGAATCCGCCAGCGAGCAACGGACGTAAGAGTGTCTTGACTGGTGTGATCCTCGATCGGGAGCGCATCGACAAGATCAAGGAGGAGCGCCGCCAGCAGCTGACCCAGAAGTATTACGGAGACAGCATCAAGTCTCGCTCGAAAACGGAACTCAACTCGGCGGACGACAACAACTTCCAAGCATCCGAATCGCTGCGCGTCAAGTCAAAGTCGCGCGGCGATATGCATTCGCTGCAAAAGGACATGGATATGAATCTGAAGCAGCTGGCACGCGCTGGCGCTGGCTCCGAGAGCACGCTGCATCAGCAGATCGACTACGGCACCCAGCATCGTGTGCGCAGCATCTCGGACGAGAAGAATCAGAATTGTGATACCAACACCAACACTAACACCACCAACACAAGCAACAGTGCCAGCAACACCAATGGAGGCGCGGTCAATCAATCCAATTCGGTCAAGTCTGTTGCCCAGAAATATGCGCAAAACAATGCGCCCGTTATCACAGCGATCACCGCATCAACGATGCCTGGAAAGTTCGAGCGGGGCATCGGGAATCGCGAACGTCTCTCTCGGAACTCCATGCCCCATCCCATAGCATCCACAGAGAGCAATGCGAGTGTCAAGTAAGTAGTTGTGTAGTTGGGGTGGTTAGCGGGAGTAAGCTACAGATAATTAGAAGTATGACTGTTAACAGATGTTAGCAACAAATGTTAATTTTAACAGATGCTCACTTAATATCTTTTAGCCGAGGTACATATGATAGTAGGTTTTTGTTCATAAGTTGTTGAAGATCTGAAAAGTTAATAAGTGAAACGAATTTCAATTCTGCTCATAGTAACATAAAAATGTAGGATAACAGTTGCTAACTGTCGATATAATATACTATAATATATAATATATGTAACAACAGCTGATTCGTAAATTTCAATTTCAATTTTCAGGGTTAATGTAGTGTAATGCTCTATAATGTATACCTATAGTAAATAATTCAGGTTATAAAAGTTGGCAATTATTAACTCGGCTCAACTACTTTTCTATTTGCAGCAACAGAGAAAAGATCTCACCACAATTCTCAATACGCGATGTGACTGCGATGTTCGAATCTCGTTCACAAAACCAATAGACATGTAGGCAACATCGAATACAGAATAATGATATATATATATATAGTTATATATATAGGTAGCAGATAACAAAAGAAGAAGCTGAAGAAGTATGAAATGGAATAAAGGAGCGGCCGCGTTATATAGTTTATTTAGTTTGAATTATTCTATATATTAAACGGATATTTGGAAAGGCATTCTCAAATATGCATCCATCCATATATACGTATATTTATATACCTACAGAGATATATGTTTATTGGATACTGGACCAAGCGGCACCAAAGACATGCAACACAAAAATCGCCGTTGGATATGAGATATATATATATAGACGATATATACAGAGCAGAGCAAAATTCAATTTTGTTTTTCTTTCAAGATGAATATGACTAAAAAAAAAAAGACCCAGATTCTAGGCGTTAAGTTTATCTATATATAGTATATAGAGCATATGATTATTCGTTTTTGTGTAATTATTGCATTTCATTTGACTTGATTTTTTTTTCGGTTTGTTTATTGTGTGTGATTTGCTTTATAAATGTTGAATTCAAAAATTTTACAAGAAAGAAAAAAATTTTAAATTTAAGTGTAAATTAAGATCGCAGAGTTTTTATTCTAAAAACTTGACATAACTTAAGTTTTTGCATTTCGGCGCAACTTTGAGCGAGTTGTCTTAAGTATATTATGATTATTATTATGACTATTTTTATTATTAGTATGCAATTAATTTATATAGATTTTTTAACTAAATCACAAAGCTTAAAAATAAATTACAAATTCAATTTTAATTATGAACTATTTTTATTTATACCTAAACACTTGTAAATACTCTACGCTTGCTTTTACTAAATGCAGCTTAAACAAAACATGGCGAACAAACAAGATTATACAAACTAAATATTTTGTAAGTGTACAAAAATACTGGACTTAACAAATCTGTCTTAACGAATAAAATACAAAAGATATGCAAATGAATTTCAACACAAACTTTTGTTCCCCATTCTCTCCCAACTATATTGTGAAGATATATACAATACATACGTAGTATATGTCTGAGTAGAACCTGGTAGCTTAACACTTTGCAAACATAATGGTTGTCTATAGGCTAATTATGGTTACAGTTCGCTACGAAGAGAACAATAGTGTAAACAAATTTTAGGAATCACTTTATGAGCCGTTCATTAATAATGATCAAATAATGAAACTGGTTTTTAGAATTCCGAACATCTCCAATGGCAAATTTGTTAAGTCCCGCTAAGGCATGCGAATATACATATATTTGTAAGCTGCCCTATATACATATATATATTTATATATTGATAAAGACCAATAAAAACTAAATCAAACATGAGCAGTACCAAAAGCTAACACATTTAACTAATATACATACGCTCTATAATCTCGCTCGCGTATATCTTCAAATTTTATCAACTAGTGAAATTTCAGCTATATAAAGTTTTTATTAAAGAGTTTGCAAATATCTTTTCCTTTAGTCTCGAGCCAGCTGCCAAATTTTTTACAAAAATTTAAAATGATCAAAAAGAAGAAAGAAAAATAGAAAACGAATTGTAATACAAACAATAACTAAATAGAAAGCTTTAAAATAAAAATAAAAGAAATAAGTTAGCATTTGATATATTTTGATAAATGAAAATAATAATAAACAACAATGATAAATCCACAACTTAGTTATAAACAATTGTATTTTATAATGACTGACAGTTAAAGCGGAGGAACAGATGAGAAATGCATTACATTACATACATACATATACGCATTACCTATATACAAATACATAAATACACACACAAATATATTTATTATAATGTATTTGAATAACAATCATTAAACTCGGCTCCTGCAATGCAGGCTAAATCTGCAATCTGCAGTCTGCTACAAAAACATTATTCTAAAGCAGCAAAACGCAAGCAAGCAACAATAACAATAAACTAACAATGTAATGCATATACTTAAACAAATATAAATATATATATATACATACATAAACATGCAACTTTTTTCTTATGGTGAATTGTGGGCATATGAAATACACACGGTCGTAGGAGCTGAGAATTAGGCCTTTTTAATATTTATAGTTAAATTTATTAATTATAATAATTTTTTATTTTACATAGATATATAAGACTGTGGCCTCAGCTCTCGCTATAAAATATAATATAATATTGTATGGTTATATGACCATCTAGAAAGAGCATTTTTTAAATTATTTGTTTTTGATGCACTTCAATCGAAAGAATTTCCTACAAATACATATGTAGTGATATATTGGGTTTCCGTGTTAAAAAAAGGAAATATGTGTGCCTCTGAATTCACTTATAAGACAATATTTTCGAAGCATACGAAATTTACAGGGGCTCAAATTCAAACTGTCTGGAAACAGAAATTTAGTCCAAGGCTCAGGGTATTTAATTGTTGAATTAATTTGGAGCTATCAATAGCAGACATTGCAAATTGCAATTTGTGTCAATGTATAAATTCACCGATATGAAAACTCATGGTTATCTACTCTCGTCACATCTCTATTTATTATCAATTGGCCCGGCAACCGAAGCTGCTAGGCACTACAAAAAATTCATTTTAGACTCATTAGAGTGCTCCTCTCCACGGAAATCTTTAGTAAAAGGCGAAAGATTTATTCGACAACTGAAGAGAAGCCAGAGTGAAGAAATACAAGCTGACACGCTGACTCTACCCTGCTTCCGAGTTAACCAGTTGAGAATTACAAAAAATCTGTCCTACCTGAGCAACCCCTAAAGTATGCCACGAATAATTCCGCTTAGGTAGGCAAAAGGTGTTCAAGGTAAATTCATTTACAATTCTCAACTGGTTTTAACTGTAGCCCAATGGAGTACTGAATATTTGACTGTGTAGAGTTATCGCTTCTCGGCCTTATGGCTAAGATCAAAGTGTAGTATCTGTTCTTATCAGCTTAACATCTGATAGTTTCTCCATTGGAGAACAACAAATGTTAAACTGATTTTTGGAATCAGACGGAGTGCTAGGGGCTTGCTCCACCTCTGTCGCGGGTTGGCCCGGTATTGCAGTACCGCCGGGATTTCGGCCCAACTAAATAATACATATCATAAAAAACGGAGTCTAGTAGAAACATAAGGGTGGAAGGTGTCGCCGATTTGTGGAATTAGGAATAAAAGTGACTCACTCAAAGCGGGGTTTTGTTACCAGCTGCTATGTATTGAAGTAAAGATGGAATGTACATATGCATATGTATGTATAATAAGCAAGCTAAGAAGGACAAATTTGTTACACGAAACATGTTGGCCGATTTTGCCTACTAAGTTAGTAGTACTAACAATGCGAACATTTTCAGGAACATGCTCGCGAACACCATTTTAAAACTAGTTTTGGACTGTGAACATGTCAACGGAAGAAAACAAAATCGTCACCGTCACCTTAATGGCAATACATGTTTATTTAAAACAAAAAAAAATGGAGGAAAAGGAACTTCAAAAGCGAAAACGTACACCATATGGATGAAACAGTGGTATGCCAAATGAGAACTGTACACCCACACAAAATTGTTGAAGGAGCTGAATGAAACCTCACCAGAGGATCTATTAAGCTTAGTAGGTCCCAAAATAAAGCGAGTGAACACTAACATGAGACGTGCTATACCGCCCAGAGTCTTGGCAGAATTGTTGTTGAAACTTGTAACATATTATTCATGACCTCAGAAAATTAAATTGGAGTTATTAAAAAGTTCTGCAAATGAGCGGTATTGCACGTTTCCCGATGGATTTGCCTCAACTGATGGATTGAGAAACCCGATGAACTTGTTGAATCGGATGCAAGCGGTGTGCTCGTCCGATATATCACAGTAGATGTTGGTACTGGGGAGGTTGCTCGAGCTGCATAATGCGGTCATACGTCAGCATACCCAATCGCCCTTGAAAAAGAATTGCATCCATTCCTCTCTTAGCAAGTATTTGCTGGTCCTCAGACAACTGCCTGTACATTGCAGTTTATCATTAAAATCGATAACTCATCCCGATCTTTTTTATCGATAAAAAACCTTATCGAAAATCAGTTATAAAATTATATCTCCTACATCTTTAGAGCTACAGTCTCCAAATTTTGAATGTATATTTGTAAAAGGCGTATTTCAAATGCTAGAGACTTGTGCATTTCATTGTTATAATCATGATCTGAAAGTTTCATGAAGATCGTATGTCCACAATTATTAACAATTAAGTTCTCATAGTAAGCGCACACTGCAGCCCATGCGTGTTTATGCGTGGGTGCTTGTGTGTGTATGTGTCTGTGTATGTTTGCGTAGAGAATTTACCTTTTTTTTTTTTTGGCGACGTCAATTGTAGCGTATTCATCTACCTCCATATATTTGAATAGCAACTTATCCTAAGCTTTGTTGCGCAAATGCTTATTTACTATTTACTAATGGTGCTCCAAAGCGAATCCGGCTTATTTATGTGATGTTTGGGAAACTCTAGGCTCCTTTACTTGTTTTCCTTCGAAATAAAACGCTTGCGCCTAGGAACACAACCATGATACCCGGCCTTATGCAGGGTATTTCGAACTGTTTGCGGGGTGAAATTACTGTCAAAGGATTCTTGTAGGCTCTCGCTTAATTTCACATCCGAAGTATGTGGATTTTGGGCCACTGTAGACACCACAATCTGTTCCTGGCGATCTGTTAATATTTTAGGCCGGCCTGATCAGCGTTCTGGAGCTTTTTTTTTTTTTTTTTTTGAGATGTGATTGATTATTTTTTGGCCCACTGTACATATACGAAGGTATTCGTGAATTAGATGACCTTTTTCCTGCGTTTTGCATAGCCAACCCTGAAATTTAATACGAAAAAACGTAAAAAATTCATCTCAATTATTCAAAATTAAAAAATTGTTCTAAGTTTCTAGAAAGCTGGAAAGCCCACTATCCGCAATTTCATAATTGTTTCCCGCAATCGGAATAAGCTAGATACTGTCAGAAAATTTAATGGTTTTGATAAATGTAAGTAACAAGCAGAAGGAGGCGGTGCTGACCTCAAAAAGTAAATGTAGGTATTCTCCAAATCCACCTCCTCACCCATCTATTTGTAATACTAGAGTTGTGCTTTGGCACATACACGAATATTAATGTGATAATTACGATCGTAAAAATGAAGCTAGTCCATCGACAAGAAAAGTTAATAAACAATCAAGTTCCCATAGTAAGCCCACCCTACAGTCGGTGCGTGTTAATGTGTGAGCAGAAGAACGCGAGGAATTATTGAAATATCAATTCTTCGGAGGATTTATGGGATTAGTAGTCGAGCAGTCTCGACTAGAGCATTTTTCTTCGTCAATTTTGAATAACAGCAAATTTCGATATTTGCCTTCCGCGACAAGTTGTTATCTTATAAAGTATTATGCCGGGCAAGTAATATTCTACGATATAAACTACAACATGAACTGGAAATAGAATAAAATAGGTAGAATTGCGTATATGCTAAATTTATACGTAAATATAGGTTATAACAAAAGGCTATGTACAAAATTTATAGTCTGAAATAGGCTAAACTGGCAATAGTGATTCCAATTTGTGAAGTTTGTATGTATTAGAAGATAATTAAAATATCTTTTAGTAAATCATGTAAGAATAAGACGAACGGCCCCCAGTTGCCTGTGCCTGTGCTATTGTTAGTATTAATTTCTACTATAACGATTGAGTGAATTTGTCTTTTAATAGTGACTACTATTACCACTACTATTACTATTACTACTACATTTACTACTTTTGCTATTGGTACTACTACTACTACTACTCTACTTCTATTACTACTACATACTAATACAGGTCAATAAATAAATCATATAAAGAGCAATTCTATACCTGATAAACATACTCGCATTGAAATCCTACTATAAAATAGTGGATATGTCTATACCCATTGTAGACATGGCAAATTGGATTGGTAGTGGATATTTTACAGCTTCACAGATAAAAATTCAAAATGTAGCGAATAAGTTAGTGAATTGAACTGAATTGTCAAAGATATATACATCTACATATTTATGGTATGGAATAGTTAAGTAACTACATACTGCTTTCGGGCTTCGTTAACAACAGAAAATGCTACATTCTTCCTAGTTCTTCTATGATATATAAATTGCAATTCGCTTAAATCGAACATAGCATCCATCCAGAATATCTTTTATGCCTTGAGACAATATTTTCAGATCCCTAAAACTAATTCTGGCCCCTTTCCTTTCGACACCGGGAAATACTCTCTAACCCGTTTCTCTTGATACAGACACAGGGACTTAACGCATATTTCAGAAAGGAGTAACACTACCTTAGCCATCAGTTAGTGCGGCTTTGAAGTATTGCGCAAATTCCCGTTCACTAAGTCATGAAGCTATTCTCAATAATACGCAGAGGTTTTGTTCTTGCCCTTGTTCCTAAAGGGGGTTTGCACTCTCTGTTATATTTTGATTAACTGGCCTGCCTGCTGTGAGTGGGGCGGTAGGCGATGGAGGTGGGATAAAAAGGACAACACGTGAGAAAACTAATTTGATTAAATTGCCACAGAAACGCACAGCGTGAGACGCGCTGCCTCAATGACAATGACAATGCAACGGGGCACAGAGGCGAGCTCTTATCGCCTTAGAAGCATCAGCCAGACGAAGGCTGCTCTCTATATAGCAATCCGGCTACTTAGGACGTGAACAACCACCCGGACAGGTAGCAGAATATTTATGAATATACGCTTACATATATATATATATGTATATGCGGGTTGTTTTGAATGCACTAAGCGCTGTGCATAAGTGTGAAAACGTTTGCATCCTGCAGAGAGCCGCGTCCTGCCCCCAACCCCCAACCCCGGCACTCTCTGTTTGGATTGATTGACGCTGATAGGGCACGTGTTGGCAATTATTTGAGAATAAACATGAAAAGCTTCTGCTGGTCAAATCAGATGACTTCTTGTTGAGCACGCCAAACAGGCTGTCAGTCAGTCTGTCCGCCTGTCTCTCTGTCAGGCAGTCAGACAGTCATTCAAGCCCGACTTGCAGACTGTAAGTGGAATGCCTTAAGATTTCGCATCATTAAAATCTGATGAATGAAACGTTTAGTGAATGAATTTGTTAAGGACAAAAGGCTTTAGTGTTTCTGAGGGAATATTTCGTCGGATGAAAGTGTTTCCTTAGGATACTCAAAACAAGGTCCTTTCTTGGAAACAATGTAAATTCATTTTCGGTTTTTATTCGATTTAAGTAATTTGCTACCTTGAAGGCTTCATTTTGTTGACTTACATTCGCATATACTGTTTTTGTTTATATTTCGATTGTTTGATATGAAAGGAGAGCTGAAATTTATTATTTCGTGTATATTATTATTTATTATCTTACAGTTATAGTCTTAATACTTATATTATTACTTATACTTAAAATTGGGACGATAACTGACAGACAATGAACGCAGGTGTGGCAAATATAAGCTCTGCTACATCATTTTCAGTTTGAAAACTACTATTGTGGAGATATGAGCCTCACCTTAACCTATGTATATGTTCATATTGACCAGCTTCACATAAAAACATCAAGCTTATACAGTACATTTAACAAATTTCTCTAATATCAAATACGAAAGTTTTTCAACTGATGCTTTATTAAAAAATAAGTTACCAATTAATTCAAATATTTTTAAGTTTCCACGAAAAGTTATTTTTTTCGTTATAAAAAAAAAAAAAAACAGTTTTTTTCCTTTATAAAGTTCTAGACTCAAAAATAAATTGACTGCAACTAGTGTCAGTGTTGCCATTATTCGCTTTTCCCGTCAGATCTGGCTTGAAAAAATAAGTCAGATTAAGGGAAGAAATCAAAAAAGTGAGAAGTAGGAGTTCGAAAAACCTTGATTTCAGCCCTTTATTTCTTAAATTTATTTATTAGATAGCAAAAAATCACTTGAATTATTTCCAAGTTTTGTATGCTTGTTTCACATATGAGAGTTAAAAGTGCAAATCTCCAAATTATCTAACAGCAATCACATAAGAAATTCACTTGCAAAAAAGTCAATAGTTATACAGATGTTCATTTTTACTTATCTATGGATCACGTGTAAGTTCTTTTTATACCCTGAACCCATTTTCAATGGGAAATCAGGGTATAATGGTTTTGTTGAAATGTATGTAACAGGCAGAAGGAGGCGTGGCAGACCCCACAAAGTATATATATTCTTGATCAGGGTGACAAGCTGAGCCGATTTGGCCCTGTCCGTCTGTCTGTCTGTCCGTCTGTCCGTATGTATGAACGCGTCGATTTCAGAAGATATAAGAGCTAGAGACTAGAGACTCAAATTTCCGTAATTACAGCGCGGATATCAAGTTTATCATTAAAAATCGATAACTCATCCCGATCTTTTTTTATCGATAAAAAACCTTATCGAAAACCAGCTATAAAATTATATCTCCTAAACCTTTATTGCTAGAGTCTCCAAATGTATTTTTATGTATGGTTATATGCAATTTCGGTTTTTGTTAAAATTTACCCCCCACCCCTATATCCACCCCCTCACCCTCACTTTTGTAAAAGGCGTATTTCAAATACTAGAGACTTGTGCTTTGGCAAATACATGTAATCATAATCTGAAAGTTTCATGAAGATCGTATGTCCACAATTATTAACAATTAAGTTCTCATAGTAAGCGCACACTGCAACCCATGCGTGTTTATGCGTGGGTGCTTGTCTGTGTATGTGTTTGCGTACGTGTGTGTGTGTAAATGTTTGTGTATGTGTGTGTGTGTGTGTGTGTTTTTATTTTTTTTTTTTTTTATTTTTTATATTCGTTTATTAACAATCTTAATACAAGTTGCAAGTTGTGTGTTGGCTAGGATAGTGCGCGATGCTTGCGGGACGGCCGTAAAGCATTGCTTCGCAAGCACTGTGCGCTACCTTAGCCTGGGACAGCTCGTCTTCTCATTCGCTCGACTCTGCGGAGCTCCATCATCACTGTGGCCGCGAAGGTGCTTGTTAGTTCCCAAGCTTCCTCCGATTCCAGCATGGCGTTGACAATGTCC